GGTAGTGATGGTCTTTTTGGTGCTGGGGAGTGAACCTAGGACGCTGCACATACTAGGCAAGTGTTCTACCACTGAGCCATATTCACAGCCTAATTATATTTTCTACCCATTTCAATATTATACGTGGAAGATTCTGGTGGGGCAAGTTAAGTAAAATCCAATTTGTCAGAGAGAAGTTTGAGACTGATTGGATGGAATTATAATTATGCTAAATTCCATAGAAATGCTACTGATCCTTATAGAACATAGAGAAATAAAAAGTGGACTGGGGATTCAGTTCAATTGTAGAAAATTTGTTTAGCATGTACAAAGCCTGGGTTTGATCTCTAGCTCTGCCAAACGCACACACACATTTAGCAATGCAATCTTCTATTGTTTTCATTTTTTTTATCTTAAACGCTGTCCTCTAAATGTGTTTTTATTAAATTTATAGCTTAATAAATACTGTGTTGTAAATGTTGTTTTACAACCCAGTTGCAGTAAAATATGACCACTCTGATGCATATAGAGCAACGTGGTGATGGCTGACAACTTTGAAAATCCCACAAATTACAGCTAAGCCCTTTCCAAAGGTTTTCTCTCTCACATTTCACATTATGTCAGCAAATCCTGCTGGCTCTACCTTTACCACACACCCAGAATCCACTTCTGCTGCTTATAGTTTTCAGATCACCTGGAGTACTAAAACAGCCTCAATACTAGTCTTCCTATTTTATTTTGACTACAACAGCGAGACAGCCGGTTAAAATGCAAATTAGATGAGACCACACTTCACCTCAGACCTTGCTAGTGGCTTTTACCTCTAAGCCACAAAAGCTCTCCAGTGGTCTTCACCACTTCCCAGTTCTCCTTGCCAACCTCCTCCCCTATGTGACCATTTTGATACTACACAGCCCTTTTTCTGTTCCTCAAAATAGCAAACAGATTCCTACACTGCCCAAGTCTTTACACATACTCCCTCTCTCAAGAAAGCTTTTCACTAGAAGGGCCACAGAGCTTTGCCTTCTAGCCTTCTACCTTCCTAAGGTGTGTATTCAATATGACTGACATCCTGCCAGGCAATGCATGCCTATCTGTAATCTGAGCACTCTGGGATACAAGGTAGGAGACAAGTTCAAGTCCAGCTTGGGCAATTCAGTCACTTAGTGAGATCTTGCCTCAAAATTTAAAAATTTAAATAAATAAAAGGGGGCCGGGCAGATGGCTCAGTGGAATAAACGCTTCCCTGGCAAGCGCAAGGGCCTGAGTTCAATCCCCAGCTCCACCATAAAAATAAATAAATAAATAAATAAATAAAAGGCTGGGGATGCAGTTCAGTACAAAAGACTCCAGTTTAATTTGCAGTCTCACTCCCTACCCCAAGTAACCTTCTCATGAGACCTTCCCTGGGCACACTTTTAAAATTTGCAGCCCAGGGGCCGGGGAGATGGCTCAGTGCAATAAGTACTTCCCTGGCAAGCGCAAGGGCCTGAGTTCAATCCCCGGTCCCCCCCCCCAAAAAAAAATTTGCAGCCCACTACCTCAGTGTTCCCTACCCTTCTTCCATATGGCATTTTCCTTAACATAAAAACTATGTGATATGCCACATATTTTACTTATTTTATCTTGCTTATTGTCTGATTCTATACACAAAATGTACACTCGAGGACAGAGATTTTATTATGGTGGCCGGGGACATTATAGGTACCCAATACTATTTCTTGTTTAAAAGAATGACAATAGCCAGGTGTGTGGCACACACCTGTAATCTCAGCTCTCAGGAAGCTAAGGCAGAATTGTTGTGAATGTGAGACTAGCCTGGATTATAAAGTGAGCTCAAAACCATCATGAACTGCATAGTGAGACCCTGTCTCAAAACAAAACAAAAATAAACAAAAGCATAAGAGTCCCGAAAGGTCTTAAGAGAGAAAAACAGTGTGAGTGTTTTACAGACAATACTGACCCTTCAACTTTACCAAAATAGGCCAACCATGCAAAATCTAATAGTTTCCAGAGTGTCCCTATGTTGATAAAGTGAAACTTGTGCTAGGTCATAGCCCTGTCCTGACCATGGGCTCTTTGTCATTCGCCATAGGCCTCTCCTTGTAGGGTTTCCCTATCATTTCTGTCATGACTATGCCTACTTTAAGCTTCTAGTTGGACAGCAAAAATAGATGAAAATTATTTATGTGATTTCAACTATGTAAAAATGAACACTGAAAAATTCCTGTAAGAAAATAGAACAAAAAGATAAAGCTGATTATATCAAGGTGGTGGAAATAAAACTAAATTATTTACCAGAGAACTTTAGCAAATTACCTCATTAAAATTAAGCTAACTTTTTTTTTTGTTTTTTAATGTATTTGGTACAGGGTCTCACTATGCACTTCGGACTAGTAGTGATCTTCCTTTTTTTAGCATCCCCAGCACTGGGATTACAGGTGTGTACCACCACGCCCAGACTCTGTCACCAGCTCAGCACACCCATGGGGGCAGGGCCTGCATGGCATGTAGTGCTGGGGATTGGACCTAGGTCTCTGAGCTTGCCTAATCAGCTGCTTAGTTCGCTGAGCTAACTCACCGGGCCCAAGGTAACATTTTTTAAAACAGCTAATCCACATCAGATGTGGTACATGCCTGTTATTTCAGCTTCTGGAAAGCCAAAGCAGGATGGGTAAATTCAAACCCAGCCTGGGTATTAGCAACTTGGTGAGACTTCGTCTTAAAATGTAAACTAACCAACCAACCAGCCAGCCAGCCAGCCAGCCAGCCAACCAACCAACAAACCAAACAAACAAACTACACAGCTAAAACAAACAAACTACACTCAGGCCTGGAGATGTAGCTCAGAGTGAAGGACCTAGGTTTATTCCCCAGTACTCTTTCTGCAACACTACCCCTCCCCCACCAAAAAAAAAAAAAAACCCTAACCCAAGCCAGGCACAGCAGCTCATTTCTATAACCCCAGTACACTGGGAAACTGAGGCAGAAGAGGATGAAAAGTTCAAGTCCAACCCAGGCAATTTAGTGTCTCAAAATAAAAAACAATTGAAACTGTCTGATTGCTATTTCTCAATAAAATAAATAAATAAAAATAAGGCTGGGAATGCAACTCAGTGTTACAATCATGTATTCAATCTCTAGTACTGCAAAAGCAAAAACAAACAACTAATCCAATATAAGCATGGCCAATATAAGCATGATCATATGTTCAATTTAGTCTCTGACTATGATGTGTATGTTATACCTGGCTATATCTAAATCTAAAGCTTGTGGCAGAACTTATAGCCTGGAGGGGAAGAGAAGTGAGCACAACAAGAAGGCAGCAGTGGAAATTTCCCAATGAGATCTTATCAAATGAGAAAAACAAAGGGCTTCTAAAATAAAAATAATTTTAAAAACCAGTAACAGGAAAAAGAATGAAAAAGAGAAACTTAAAGATTCACACAGGTACAGGCAAGGAGAATCAGAAGTGTGTGGTGTCAGAGAAGTCACACGCCAAGAAAGATTCCTATGTCAAACTCAAAGGGATATCTGGGATAATAACTGAAATCCATCTGTCTACTGGGTATGGCAAATAGGAAGTCATCCACGATATTATCAGTAGTTCGGTGAATTAAGTGGTGATGATACCAGAAGACAAAAATGAATCAAAATGTGAAGGAAAAAACAGAATGGATGACTCTTGATGATAGTTAAATGGAAGGAGAGGAAACTACTTGGAAGTTGTGCAGCAGGAAAAGTTTTCCTTGCAAGGGTAGAGCTGACTGAAGTATTTCAAGTTGAGAAGTTGGAAGAGTAGATGTGAAAGTGTCGATGAAAGGGAATCTCAAAAGAAATTTAAGGGCAAGCACAGAAGTTTCAAGTTTGCATAGAAGAAACAATGTTAAGTACACCTGCCTAGTGGTTTTCCTTTCTCAGTGAAGTAGGAACCAAGAAAGTCCACTGAGATTTACAGAGATGAATGTTAGTAAGGTTTGAGAAAAAACTGGAGACTGCCTGGAGCAGTTTTAGGTGAAAATGGCAAGAAAAGCTGACTACCACCACCTAAGGGGACACGAGCACGATTGAAAGTCAACAGAGGCTGGAGACCATTACTCAAAAAAAAGTTTACTTAAACTTGGCATGATGGTGTGTGCCTGTAATTTCAGCACTCTGAGGCTAAAGCAGGAGACTATGAGTTCAAGGCTAACCTGGAACATAGGGAGATCCTGTCTCAATTTTGAAAACGCTACTAGTTGGGTGTGGTGGCATACACCTGTAATCTCAGCACTCAGGAGGCTGAGCCAGAAGGATTGCTATGAATCTGACATTAGCCTGGGCTTATACAGTGAGTTCTAGGCCAGCCTGAACTACATAGCAAAACTCTGTCTCAAAAAAAAAAAACTATTTTTTTTTGAAGGGTTGGGAATATAGCTCAGTTATAGAAGGTCTCAGGTTCAAAATCTAATACTACAAAAACATTCCTCCCCCCACAAAAAAATTATAAAGAAATCATCAGTTCAGTGTAAGTATGAACTATCTAACAGAACTATGCAACTATTATGTTCTAGGGGATGTATAAAACAGAATTACAAAAACGAAAGATGCAGCATCTTCTTTTAACTGGCATATGGATTAGTGGAGGAACTAACACATAAACTATGAAGTTCTGAAACAGAAGCATGAGATATATATATATATATATTATATATATATATATATGTATATATATATATATATATTATATATATATATTAACAGAAGAAGAAAATCAACACTATCTATGATACTGAGAAAAGGTTTTTTCCCAAATGTGTCAGTAAACCAGCTTTTGAAACATGAAGAATTCAGTAGTAAACTGAGTGGTCAGACCTCTACATAGGGAGAGCTTCATGGAACAGCATGGAAAGACAAAATAATATAGAACCCAGAGAACAAAAAGATGGAGACTGAGGTGGCAGAAGACTCATGGTAGAGGCTACTCTGCTGGTGCTGAGAAGCAGTGAATGGAAGCAAGAGACAACATAGTTCAAAATAGGTTTTAGATGTAAATAAAGAGGGAAAGATGGGTGGAAAGGAAGGGAGAGGAATAGGGAAAAAAAAAAGCAGCAAGATATATCATGCACAGTACAAACTCCCTATGATGAATGTGATATTGTTAAAAAAAAAAAAAAAGTTTTAGACTGCTGCCTGCCAGGCCTGGTAACGCCAGTGCTAGAGAGAAAGAGGCAGGAAGATTACAAATTTAAGCCCAGTCTAGGCAATGTAGTGACTGAGGGAGATCCTGTTTCAAAAGAAAAAGTAAAATAAGTTGGAGATATAGCTTAGTGTAAAGGGTCTGGGTTCAAAGCCCACTACTGCTAAATAAATAAATAAATAAATAAATAAATAAATAAATAAATGGGTTGGGAATGTAGCTCAATGCCAAGGCTCTGAGTTCAATGACCTGTAACAAATAAAATAAAACAAAACAAATAAAGGTTGCTGTGTGATGATGGTGCAAGAAATAAACTGAAATTAAGAGGTGAGATAAGAACTGTTGTAACTAAGCAGACAAGATGAGGCCAATGAGATGACACAAGTTAGAAGCCCCAGAGGCAGCAGAGATGTTTCCATCCCCTACTTCTGCTTTCACAATTCAAAAAAATTTTGTAATCAGACATCTCTACCCCCTCTATCAGCAATTCTAAAAGCCCTTACAACATTCCTTATTTTGGGGAAAAAAATCTGTATTTTTATTTGCCCATGACATATTTAAAACAAAGTGTTTACCTACCAGGAAGGAGAACAACAGGTAGAGACAGACCCAGACCCAGACAGTGGGGGCCTTTTCACTGTGTACCATTTCATACTTTTTGATTTCTAAACTGTGTAAATACGTTAATTAAAATTAGTATTAAAATTTTTAATTCTATCCATCTAGGTGAGTTTACCTGTATGTGTTTCCATATTCTTTAGCATGTGATTCTGTTTGCCTCGGGGGAAGGGAGATACCACTGGAGGATCCTGCCTTCTTACATTTTTCTCTTGGTCAACCCTTCTGGAAGACTTAATAACTGCCAAATTCTCACTGTCACAGGCAGATTTTGTTGCTCTTTCATTGATGTTATCCTTTAGAATGGGAGCCATGTTGTTTCTGGGGCCTACGTTTGCTTGGCGCTGGCCCTCCTGTTTGGGCGCATTCCTACCCGGTCGCGGTCTGGCTCCCTCCACTTCCCAAGGGGGCCTTTTCTGTGGGTATCTTCTCTGGTCATTTCGTCTGGCCCCATACCCATCCAGTCCTCCTTTTCTACAGGATGCATCTGAAGAGTCAGGGTGGGAAACCCCCACAGGTTTGATATTTTCAGGTCCTGCATCCTCAGGTTTTGGAGTCATTTTGTTACCCCATTCACATTTGAGTTTTCCCTTAACTTTTGGTCCTCTACCATAGCTGTACACAAACTGTGCTGCTTTTTTGGGTTTTGCTCCCCTGGGATCAGCGCCGGTAACTTCCTTCTCACTTTCAGAAGGGCTGTGCTCTCTGAGATGTGTCCCACTTTCTGATCTTGCCACATTTTCTAAGCTAGCTATATCTGAGGTATGGTCAGTGAGCCCTTGTGCTTTCTTTACTCTGATATGGTGCTTTTCATTCTTCAGTTTCTGCCAAGGCTGACACTGAAGGCCATGGTTCTTGTGTGATTTGTTAGAAGCAGAAGACTGGAAAAAAGTGTGTTGACTCTTAGGTTTGTTTCCAGAAGGGTAACTGTACTGATGAGCAGCAGAGATGTCATCATAAGGGACCTGCCTGGACAGGTGACAAGGAGGCGATGCACTATAATTTCTTCTGCCAATCCTACTGGAGTCTAGTCTTCTTTGAATTCCACAATTTAGCCCAGAACTTCTTCTGTCCTGAGGAATGAACTCAGCAGCATCTGTATTGAGTTTAAAAGTACCTAGGACATACAGAGTAGACATACCAGTAAGGAGATTAAAGTGTTACCCATGAAGCTCACAAGACTCTCCAGCCATATCTAAAAATTATTATTATTTTTTTATTAAAGTGCCTGCTTAGGCAGATGCAGGGACCAGGGGTTCAGTCCCTGGTGTGCCATGTTGGTCCGGACCCCAGGATGTGTTGAGGTGGCGACTGAGACTAGGCATGGTGGTGTGGGCCAGTAATTCCAGCGCCTGGGAAGCCGAAAACAGGAGAATCACTACAAGTCCAATCTACATAGTGAGACCCTGTAGACCCTGCACTAAAATAAAATTTAATTAATTTATTTATTTATGTACTTTGTCCTTTTGAGACAGGGTCTCACAAGCAGCTCAGGCTGGCCTTGAGCTCACTTTGTAACCCAGGATGCTCTTGAACTCTCAATGATCCTCCTACCTCAGCCTCCCAAGTTCTGGGATTGCAGGTATGTGACACTGCACCTGGCTTAAAAGTTACTTCTAAGCACACTGAATGAAACAGGCTCTTTCCTGTTCTAGTTGCACACACTTATAATTCCACCTATTTGACAAGCTGAGGCAGGAGGATCACAAGGTTGAGGCAAGCCTGGACAACTCAGAGAAATAAATAAATCCCCAATATAATAGACACACACACACACACACACACACACACACACACAGATCTGTTTCCTGTGAAGCTGGCAATTTCAGGTGCTTATGGAGGGCTGATCCTTCCATGTCTAGTGGGTACAACAACAGCCACTAACAACTGCTGAGTAACTGTGGTCATCTGGATATCAGGCACTGTGTACAAAGGCATTTATTGTATCAAAAACTTTGACGTCAGCTAACAATTTAGGGATATCAGTTATCACATGCCACACAGTCTTTTAAAACTCTGAAGTAGTATTGTACAATATCTAACAAACAGGCTTTGAAGTTAGTTAAAATGGGTTTAAAATCTGGCCCTCCAACTAACTTATTTAGGGAGCTTAGAAATTATCAGTAGACTCCATCAGCCTTAGTTGCTGCATCTATAGTAAAAGATAATATTTATTTTAAAGGGTTACTATAAAATTTAAAACCTCAAAGTATAGTATACTGAGTACACAAGTTTCCATCTCTTATCCCTAGGAATATATATGGGCTTTCCATACCAGACCTCTACAATGTGCTCCAGAACCTCAAGGATTCAAATACTGCCCATATTTCCCTTCTTTTTTTTTTTTTTTTTAATTTATTTATTTATGTGTGTGTGTGTGTGTGGCCAGCTCAGCCCACCAGGGGGCGGGGCCGGCTGGCATGTGGTGCTGGGGGATTGAACCGCGGTCCTTGTGCTCTGCAAAGCTTACTCTAAGTAGGTGCTTTAGACCACTGAGCAATCTCACCAGCCCCATATTTCCCTTCTGATGAAGCTGGGGAGATAGCTCAGTGGTCTAAGTGCTGCCTGGCAAGCACAGGGCCCTGGGTTTGATCCCTAGCACTGCACGCCACTCTGGCCCCACCCCGGCTGCACCAAACTGGCCACCAAAACTGGGCATGGTGGTGCATGCCTGGAATCCCAGTGTTGGGGAGGCTGAAATAGGAGGATCACTATGAGTCTGATCTGCATAGTGAGACCTTGTACCTAATACATAAAATTAAAAAAAAAAATAATTCGCCTAAAGACATGAAACTAGTAACGAGATAGAAAGCAGAAGACAATACAAACCTAGGTCTTACTGACTCCAGAGCCCACTGACACCCAGAATGGCTAAGTTTATCACACCTTTCAGATGCTGGATTAAAATTACAGCTTTTGGGCCAGACACGATGGGATGCGGCTATAACCTCAGTACTTGGGAAGAAGGCTAAGGCAGAAGAATCACTGTCAGTTTGAGGCTAGCCTGAGCTCTAACAATGAGTTCAAGGCCAGCACAGACTACACAGCAAGATCCTGTCTGGAACAAAACAAAATGAAACGAAACACAAATAATAAAGCCAGAACAATAGATAGCAAATAGAATATGGTATGAATCAGGGCCAGCCAGATAGCTCGGAAGACTAAAGTGCCTGCTTCAGCAGAGCTCAGCGGCTGGGATACATGAAGAGCTGTATCCGCCCCACCACTTGGGGCACGCTCAGACAGAGATTGAGTCTGGGTATGGTGGCACAAGCCTGTAATCCCTGTGCTTGGGAGGCCAAAAACAGGAGAATCACTATGAGTCCAATCTAGGTAGTGACACTCTGTCCTAAATTCATAAAAAATTCATATGCTATGAACCAATATGTAAGTTTCAATGTATTCAGTGTATCAGCACATGTAAATGTGAGTTTAAGTCCTTTTCTATCACTTATTGTGCCTTTAAGTAAGTTACTTAGCTCCACTTTGTTAGATCCTTTCTTTGTTCTTCCTTCCTTTCTCCTTACCTCTTCTTCTCCCTCCTTCTCTTTTTTCCTTTCTTCATTACTGGGAATTGAACCCAGGTCTATCCACTGAGTTATATCCCCAGCCCCTTTTTAATTTTGTTTTGTTTTGAGACAAGGTCTCACTAAGTTGCATATGTGAACTTGTGATCCTCCTGTCTCAGCCTCCCTGAGTGCTGGTATTACAGGCATGCCACCATGCTGAACTTCACATTTTTTTCATTTCTGAGAGAGACAGTAATAATCTCATCAAAAAAGTTGCTATGAAGAATATAGCAAGTCAGTAGAACCTATAAAGTATTTACAATATTAGTATATTATTGCTTTTAGTACTACAGACTACCTGAAACACATAGACTTGACAAGCACACTGCAGAGCCTGTGAGTTTCAGGTTAATAAGGCCCAACATTTACTGAGTACTTAATACATACCAGGCACTAATCTAAACACTTTACATGTTCACTTATTTAATCTTTGCACATTCCTGATGAGAAAATTGAGGCACAGAGAAATCTGCCCAAGACCACAGAGATATTCCAAAACAGACTCAGAATTCCAACTCAGATTGTGTGGTATTACAGACTGGATCTTACACTACACTACCCTATACTACACCAACTGAGGCTAGACAGCAGGTACCACAGAAACACAAGGAAGAATTAAACAAGATTATACAGGTCATATGGTAACTTCTCATTCAATCTAAGATTTGTCCTGAACATTTTCACTGGGCAGAGTTTGGGGTAGGGTGAGGGGTAGGCTCACAAAATGACAAGAGGATTAGGTAGACTCAGAAGGTGGTAAAGGAGTTTGGAAATAAAAGGTAAGTCAAAAATGGGGTAGGTAAACTGGACCAAGTGATGCTGTGTAATTCTTTCTCCTTAAAGAAGTGAGACTGCAGACAAGAGCAGAAACAAGGTTAGTAAACTTATCTAGAATAGCCTGGAAAAGGATGGGAAGAGCATTTCTTGTTGAACAGTAATACATGGATCCAGATAGGCATGCACTTAATCATATACAGTTTATGTTCTATGGAACATAAGGTTGCAATAGACAAGGCCATTATGGGTGGGATGGGGGTATAAAAAGAACTAAGATGTGTTATGCACATGTACCAACTCCCCACAATGCATACAATCTTACATACTGCAAATAGGTACTAATAAAAATGTTTTTAAAAGACTCAAGGGGAAAAGGCCGTATGAATCAGGAAACCAGACCATAACAAAAACCAGAGGCACACTTCTCATTATTGTAAGTGAAGTTATTTAGTAAATAGGATGGCTCATTAAGTTGTAGCAATGATACAAATAGTACCCAAGATCCATTAACAAATGGTTGGCAAATCACAAGTGAGTAGAGCAAAACAAGGGGAAATCCAAGTAGCAGATTACACTGTCCAGAGACAAAGATGGCAGTGGAAAGTCTGTCCCTGGGGTGTGTATGTGTGTGCGTGGTTCCTCTTGAAATTTAAAGACCTCAAAGGCGGGGGAGGGGTGGGGGGGAGGTGGGGGGGTGGTCCTCTGCAAGGCCGAGGCAGGAAGCTTAACAAGTTAAAACACAGCCAGGACAACTTAACAATTTAGCAGGACCTTGTCTAAAAAATAAAAAGGGCTCACGATGTAACTGTGTGAGTCAGTCCCTAGTACAGAAAAACATGGGAGAAGGTGAAATACAGATGTTAAAAATGGGTTATTAGGGGCTGGGGAAATGGCTCAGTGGAATAAGCACTTCCTTGGCAAGTACATGGGCCTGAGTTCATTCCCAGCAAAAAAAGAACCAAACCAAACCAAAATAAAAATGGGTTATTGACAGTATTTTAAAAAATGAAACAAGCTAGGTGTAGTAGCACATGCCTGTGATCTGAGCACTCCAGAGGCTGAGGCTGGAGAACTGCCAGGAGTTCAAAGTCAGCTTGGGCTAGTGACTTCAAGGCCAGCCTAAACTATATATGGAGGTTCTTTCTCAAAACAAACAAACAAAACAAAACCCCCACCCCCCAAAAAAAGAAAATCAAGCAGAAAACAGACTATATTGCTAATAGTAAAGGAAGCCGCTGATTCTTGAAACCTTTGGTTCATTTTTATATTTATGTAAGCAGGTAGCTCACCAAGAAAAATGTTTCTTTTTGGCTGCTACCTACAAAGTTTGGAAAACACGAATCTAGGGTACACCCTGAAGGAAATGCAAATAGATGCTCTATTAACAATCAAATGAGTTTGTCTCTACACAGAGACAACTTCAGGAGAGGAAATGAGCTAACAATTACGGAATTTCTTTTCCAGAAATGAATTTATTTATTCCCAGCAGAGAGATAAGTAAACTGAGACTAGAACCCAGTTTGTAGCAGGCTGAGATTCTAAACCATTGGTGTTCCGCTAGCGCACACGGGCCACCACTCCACGAAGTACAAACACACCCCACCCACAACGCACAACTTCGATGAAAATAGTGAGCCCGTCACCGCTGCCGTCACCGTCAGTGACTCGGACAACGCCAGTCTGTCGGGTCAGTGCGATGTTTCCAAGGAAGCTCGGGTCGAGCGCTGGGAGGGCGGGGCACCCACTTCGAATCACTGGGACAAGGCCTCTATCGTCGAAAACCCTGCTGGCGGGCTTCACCACCCAGTACACGATGGTGGAGGTTTCAGTATGTGCGACTCGCGCGACTTGGCCCTTCCGAGGCACTATCCCTAACTCTAGTAAGGGCCACTCTCGCGATATAAATAGCTGGAGCCCTAGGATTTCGTCACTGATGAAACTGCCGCTCCCTGAGAAAGGTCGGTCCCGAGCGGGCCAGGACAGTACCTGAGACCGGAGGAGCCTCCGCCATCCCGCGCCGCAGCACCTAAAGGGATCCAGCCAAGCGTGCGCTGTCACCCGATCACGTGTCCCGGACTTCCGGCGGCGCCAAGAGAAAATTCGCATCTGCGCGCCAGGTATACAGCCGCAAAGATTTTGCTGCCCGGCTGAACTGTGCGACGCGTTCGTGACGTCAAACAGACGCGCCGGCTGGAAAGCAGATAGCTCGAGGTGACGGGAGTCTCTGGACTGGGCAGGGCGTTGCGTAATCTAGCTCTTTTCTTTGTTTTTCTTTTCTTCCTTTTGTCTCTCTTTCCTGTCTGTATTACCTGTATATCACTTTCTTTCCTGTAGCTGGCCGCTACACCCTGGCTTTAGGCTACTTAAGTATTAACTTAATGCCTACGGAGTCCTGAAGACGTTGGTGTCTGAGTTAACTCGAGTAGTCCAAAGGCACTGGAGATAGGGTTCACAAAACAAATTATGAGGGGCTAGTGCAGTACACATGGAGCTCTTGCAAGTGAGACAGAAAATAACATACTAGAGTGGTGGTGGGCAACAATAATACTACCACTCGGGAGGCAGAGGCACGACAGTTGCCACCAATTTAAGGCCAGCCTGGACTAGGTACGTAATGAGTTCAAGGTCAACCTGTGCTACATAGGAAGACCCTGTCTCAAAAATACAATTAAAATAGAGTAAGAGTTCAGTTTACTTTTGATTTTGCTTAAGTTGGAAACTAAAAGTTCCAGAATTTAAAAATACAGCCAATTTGTCTCTGACCCCTTTGGGGTTAGCACTTCCTTTGAAAGCCTAATCTCACAATTACACTGGGTTAGTTGGTTTCTTTCCTTTCCTTTGATAATTGGAACTGCACCTAGGGCCTAGTGCATGCTAGCCAAGTGCTATACCACTAAACTACATTGCCCAGCCTTTATTTGAGATAGTCTTGCTAAATTACCAGGCTGGCCTCAAACTTTCGATCCTCCTGCCTCAACCTCTGAGGAGCTGGGATTACTGGCAGATATTACTATGTACAGGGTACTCTATATTGAGGTTTTTAACTTGCCCCGATTCAGCATTTCAGAAAATTCTTTAAGAATTGAGTATGTTTGAGAAATTGACTTAGCCCTGCTTCTTTCCAGGTTGTCTTAAGACCTTTGCTACTGTGGAATTTTTTGAGAACTGGAGCTTCTCCAGGACTTCTTTGAATGCAGAAAGCCTCGTACTACTTGCTGTCAGTTACAGGATTCTCCCTTCATTCTCCAACACAGCAACACCAAATGATAGAATTTAATATAATTTTAATGAAGGCTTCAGGATTACAGAGACCAATGCAGAGAGCAATTTACAATTGACACTAAAATTAACCATTTTAGGAGCCCAAACAACCTCAAGATTCTGTCTGGACCCAGAAATCCTTTATCTGGCATTGGATTGTCACCAGTGGAAACCGCCAGAATTTTCTTACTATCTCTCTACTACTATGAACCTACAGACTGAATTCTTTGTATCTCCTCATTCCCCATTCCAGGAAATCTAAGGCTTTCCTGGAGAAACTTGACAGTGAAAACTTCCATTTTCTTCAGGGAGAATTTATATTTCCACCCACAGTGTATGTTTCATGGTTTAAACAAAATAATCACAATGATTAACAGGATATTTTTGAGGAGCTGACTTAATTTTAACCAGGAGCATAAGTTGGAGACCAAAAGTTCAAGAATTGTCACATTAGCCAGGCATGGTGGTGCACACCTGTGATCCCAGCACTTGGAAGGCTGAAGTAGGGATTGCTGAGAGTTCAAGGCTAGCCTAGGATACAGTTCCAAACTAACAAGTATGATTTTTTTTCTCTAATTATTAATGACTTTGAAAATTTCTTGATGGCATTTTGGGTTTCTTCTTTTTAAATTGCTTATCCATAATGAATGCACATTTTTCTGTTAAAGTATTTGTTTTAGATGGGATTATGTTGCCCAAGCTGGTCTCAGATTCTTGCATTCAGGTGATCTTACCAGCCTCTTGGGTAGGTGGGATATGGGGCATGTGCAGCCATTTGTCCTTTGATGAACTTAAATTCTTAATTTAAAACTGAAAAGCAATAAATTTATAAATGGCGTACTGGAGATCCAACTCATTTTCAAAACGTGAAATACACAGACATAAGCAATTTATTATGCCTTTCCTATAGAAACAGTACTTTACACAGTATAACAAAACTCATGGTAGGTGAGTGAAAGCAGCGCTCAGGTAGAGTTTTGTTTTGTTTGAAATGGTTTCACTGTGTACCCCAGGCTTGTCTTGAACTGCCATGTATCCTACCCTGGCCTTGAACTGGGATCCTCCTACTTCTGCTTCCTAAGTGCTGGTATTACAAACATGTGCTACTATGCTGAATTCAAATTGATATTCATAACTGTAAATACATTTTTAATAAGTTCATATAATGAAATAGTATTCAGTTCTAAAAAATGAGCTAGCAAGCTATGAAAAGAAAGACAAAACAAATATACATATATATATATATATATTGCTGAGTGAAAGAAGGCAACCTACATACTTTGTGATTCCAACTATATGATATTCTGGAAAAAGCAAAACTTTTGAGTATAACAAAAAGATCAGTGGTTGATAGGAAATAGGGGAAAGAGAATGATTAGGAAGAACACGAAGAATTTTTAGGATGGCAATATTATTTGATATAATATCACAGTGGTGAGTCCCATGTCACTATATATTTGTTTAAAACCTATAGAATGTACGTACAGCACCAAAAATTAACCCTAATGTGAACTATGGACTTTGGGTGAGAATATGTCAGTGTAGGTGCAATGATTGTATGAAATGCACTACAACTCTGGTATAAAAAGTTAATAGATTGTGCATAATATGGGAACTCTGTACTTCGTATTCAGTTTTGCTGTGAACTTAAAACTATTCTTTAAAAAATTCAATTTTTTCAAATTGTAACCTTTCGGCTAGGTTTTTTTTTTTCCATAATTTTATTGAGGGGCTGGAGAGATGGCTCAGTGGTCTAAAGCACCTACTTGGAACAAGCTTGGCAAAGCACAGGGATTGTGGTTCGATCCCCCAGCACCACATGCCGCCTCTAGGTGGGCTGAGCTGGCCACACACACACACACACACACACACACACACACACTAAATGTAAAATAAATAAATAAATAATTTTATTGAGAGACAAATAGCAATGAGAGTTTCAAATCAAATTGGTAGGACAATTAACAATTGCATAATCATTTCCTGGTGGTTATTTGCTGTATAAGATGCAGACATGATATCCTATTTACAAACACTGTTACAACAAATCCCTCTATTCATTAAGAGAATGTAACTATATATCTATCCTAACCATTTTGAATATGCAGATACAAGATGGACATTCATCTGTATCCCCTTTTTTGTTTAGTTCTATTATTTGAATATTATAGTTCTATTATTTGAATATTTGTTAACTCAGCAAAATATTCTAAAAGAGTCCAGTAGTCCATAATAGTATTGGGTCTTCCTCTTGAATAGCAGTGTCAGAAATTGTTGACCTGAGTCCCCTACAGCTCAACATAACACCATGGCTTTACTTCTTATACCTCGTTTTTATACTTTTCTGCTGGATGGTTAAGACCAAGATAAAGCAAGACCTATGCAACCAGAGTTGTAGCTTTTGGATCTGATAAGGTCAGTCAAATCCCCTCAGGATTTATCCTGAGATCCTGTATCTCAGATTGTAGATCCTTTGTCAGTGTCACCCATGTGGATGAGTCACAGCCATTGCTTGGCCAATGTGCTCTCTGTGAAAGCCTGAGAGAATGTTTTCTCTCCATGTGACTCTCCTTAGGCACACTCTACATCATTGATCACTTTCCTCTTTGGCCCCGTAATTTCCTTGATCAGAAAATTTGGGATACTACTGAGTTACGTGACGTTACAGTACAAGTTCTTATATGTCCTGAGTCTTAATTGACCTTGGAAGGCTAGGACCAAAATGTTGGCTTTCCTTGTGGCCCTCCTTTTTCTCTAATTTTGGTCTGCAAACTTAGGTTGTTAACCCTCCAGAAGAGAAGTTTATTGTTATTACCATACGACCTAGACTGTTAAGCTTAACCTCACTATCTGTCTGAATATCAAACATCTTAGGCATAACATGGAACAGGTATTTTTCATCAAGTATTGATATGTTGAACTTTAAGTCCCTACAGAATATGATGAAAAAAATTAAAATGTATTTTAAAAATAGGCATAAAGAATTATGTAATTCTTATGTTTACACATAAGTCCAGAAATCTAACCATATACAACCTTGTAGCAGGACAATCCCTCAACATTCCTTTTCCTGTCTCCTGCCTTCATTCACCACCCCCTTCTTTTTGAACGGTCATCTACCCGAGAGACAGCACAGCAGCAACTGGCATGTCATGACAAGCATCAGCTAGGTTCTTGTTCTGAGGGCAAAGACTGAGGGAACAGGATGACAGGACACAGCAGGCAGTGGGAAACAACCAGGGTGTAGTTTATTAGAACAAAAAGGAAAGCTTCTTGCTTTCAGGAGGGGCTACAAAAGATGGATGTTTTAAGATGCTTGAGTCCAGGGACTTCTATGCAGTCTTTGGCATGAAAATTCTTGTCAGGCTTTTGAAGTCTGGAAAGTAGGCTGTGTTCTTTGTTCCTTGTATTCCAGACATCTGAGTCTTCTAGGGACTTGTCATTTGTTTTTTGTATTCTAATTTCCTAAAGCTTATCCTTAACTCATTTCAGTGTGGCCTTCAGTTTACTTACCTAATTTACTCAGTTTACTCAGCCTAACTCAGAACTTTTTATCCTAATTTAGCTATCTTCCCCTCAGTCTCCTAGTCTCAAAATCAAAAGTGTAACCTTCCATCTTAATCTAGAAAAAGAAAAAAGCAAACTAAACCAAAACAAGCACAAATAATAGAAATTAGACCAGAAATTAATGATACAGCAAAGAAAAATTAACAGTTCATTGAACACAAGCAAAAACTGACAAACTTGTGGCTAGACTGACCAAGAAATTCAGATTACTAAAAGTAGGGATGAAAGTAGGGTATTACTGTTGATCTTAAAAAAAAAAAAATCAAAAGGAAATATTGTGAACAACTGTATGCCAACAAATTAGATTACTTCAATGAAGTGGACAAATTCCAAGTA